GCTCTTATGCACTCTGTGCCTTCACTCCTGGCTGACAGTTTCTTAGATCAGTTTTTGCATTGTTTTCTTGTATGGTGAAAATCTTTCAGTGGTGTTAAGTCACCTTATTTTTCATATTTTGCCTTGTCCTCCCCTTTTCCCTTCCTTCCCATGTCAGCTCCAGAGCTGCAGATTTATTCTGCCCCAATCAGTTTCTGAGCCAGTTTGGGTGACCTTGACTCTGGCTGTATTTTTTGTGACTTCTCTCTTTCCTCTTCTCATCGTCTCTCTGCTTTGCCTGTTTCAGGCTCTGTGTTTCTACCCCTCCATAGAATTTTTCCATACAGGATATAGCCTGAGGAATTGTTTAATATTCTAATAAATGTGTGCGTGTGAGTGTGCCTGCAGTACCAGAAATACCCTAAAATTTTCCTGGGTTTGTGAGACATCAGTTCTTTCTTGAAAGTCCTTACCCTTGCAAAGTTGGCTCCTGCAATGTACTGAGTTGGGTCTTGGCTGGAGAGCTCCAACACTCACATGAGTTTCTCTCTGCCAATGTAGCAAATGTGTTGTTTTAATTTTGGGGAGGGAAAACACCAAACAAAACCAAAGCCCCAAACTTTAGTCCATACTTTAGTCCATATGTGGAATTTTTATTCTTCCAGAGTTGCCTGATTTTTTTCTTTTTTATTTAGATTGTTTTTTTAAAAAACACACTCATGAACTTTGAGTTGACTCTCCTAGGCTTGCCTTCTGTCTTGTATGTTCTTGATTGTTTACATTCTCCCTGCTCCAGTATCTCAATGTATGAGCCTGGACTTAAGATGATGGTCTCGCTTTCAAATGGGAGTATCAAAAACACTTAGCAATGTGCTTGCAAGGCTCACAAAGTGATTTTAAATCCTCTGATAGAAGCTATCTATTATAATTGCACCAAGTACTGTTATTAATGTCTCCAGCCTCTCCATTCTGTTTTTGCTCAAGCTATGCCCAAGAACAATTAGCTGTTTGTTTGACCCGCATTATAACATCAGCTCTCCATTATGATAACAGTGGAGTGGCTAAGAACAACACATAATCTTCAGATTTAATGGAGCAGAAGACTGCAAAGGGCCAAACCTGTCTTGATGAAACGCCCTCAAGTCAGCAACTTTATGCAGAGGTGGATGTGGCACGATGTGATTTCTGTGGCTCTGTCTGATTGCTGCACAGAAATCCAGGACTGATACCAGGGACATTGCAGCAGATTAGTCAGAAACTGCTGCTGAACACAGAATATACTGGGGGGAACTCAGCAGCTCAGTCTGTATTTAGGGGAGGCAAAATTCTTTTACCCCATCTGTTGGAGTGCATGCAAATGAGAAACATTCCCTCTTCCTAAAATTCCTGGTGGGTGCACAGGCTGTTCACCATTAATGTTACTGGTGTAGGGGCTGTTGCTTTGATAAGGTGATTGGGACCATGATAGGGGCACCTCAGAGGGTGGACACAGCACTGAGGACATCACAGTGCAGAATTCTCTGAGTAGAACTGCTGGAATGACAGCCTGTAAATGAGACTGCCTCTTGCCTTATATAGACTCTGTTTGTAGACAATAACCTGGAAATACATTATGTTCTGAGAGCCCAAGTCTAAAAATGCATGTATTGCTCTAATAAATAGCATCATGTTATCAGTTTTATTTTTCTGCTTCTATTGAATGCAGAACACGTGCTTCTAAGAAACAAAAAGGACATGCATTTATTTTCAGGCATAGGACTTTGCAACCACTTGGGAAGAATATTCTTGATTGAGAACCAAAACATTCCATGATGCTTAACAAACCTGCAAATTGAAAAATCAACATCTGCCCTGTGTAGCAACACAGCAGGAGAAAGACCTGTAGCCTGAAAAATTCAAAATACTCCTTAAATTATGTTTCAGTGCATTTATAAAATTATGATTCTCTGAATTAAGGCTCGAGCTGGTTTTATATGGCAGCATCTGTTGTGTGGATGGACAGAATCTCCCCCTGCACTTGCTGGTGGCTGCTGGATGGTCCCAGCAACGTGGAGCGGCGTCTCCCTGAACGCTCCCGCAATGATACCTTAAAACAAATCAGAGGCGTCGTTAAATCATTGAGGATGACCTCAGCTGTCCAAACCCCACAACTCCTGCACTCACAGTTCCCCTTCCTGATGGAATGTTGGAGTTTTCAGTGGAGCAGCCATTGGAGGCGAGCGGAGCACGGTCCCTGTTCAGACAGAGGAAGGCACTGCTCTAAAGGAAACGCAGAAACTTGTGATTATGCACTTACTGCAGTGCTGCCTGCCTGCTGAATGGCTGGGAATTTTTTTGCTGTTCCCCTTATTTACATATCACAGCCATGTCTTTATAAAGTTACTTGAATAATTTATTAGATTGATCTTTTCAGAAATCTGCCCTGGCTAGGTGTCATTAGGAAAAGTTATTTCAACTTATTTAAAGGTTTGTGCCCGAGTAGGGCATTTACCTGCCTCACTGCTGATATTCTAAAAATACCTCTATGTCCATACTATTATCCATTCTTCACGTCCAATTGCTCTGTTATGGTAATAGTCAGAAGCACACCATGTAGTAATTACTTACAGCTGACTTAAGAAAAGAATATTCAACTCCCCCACTGTTCCACTAGAAGGTCTTTATGCACTATTAACTCATTCCTGTTTATTAATACTCTACTGGTAATTCTGGCTGCTGCTTTTTAGGTTTGTAATAGGAGGACTATTAAACAGCAATTATTGACCATATGGGTTAGTGGATATTTGTGGTGGTTTTTGGATGGTTGTTTTGTTGTGGGTTTTTAATGGTTTTTTATGTTTTTAGGTTGTTTTTAAGGAGCCACATCACAATATAGTGGTGCAACTTTACATCTGCCTGGGATTAACAATTTTGGCAGTGTTCCCCACCTAGGAAATGCAAATTCCGTATTTCAGAAATATCTGAAGCTGTGAAAATACAGAGCAGTTTAAAAAACATGAAAACACTGTGCCAGACAAAGTGAAAATATTTTTTTTTTCTTTTCTCCAGCAACAGGGATAGGGTTTGAGTTCTTTTCTTTGAGTTTTTTGGGTTTTTTTGGTCTGTCTGTCTCTCTCTTTCTTTGAATTTTCTTTTTTTCCATTTTTTACTTCTTGTTCTAGAATTTTGTAATGGTCAAGTGTAAATTTCAAGCTAATCAAACTTCTAGAAAAGTGTGAATTACAGCACTTTGAAGAATTAGAAATTTGTCTTCCTCGGTAAGCTTGCCTAGTGAAAAGATTGAGGAGAGACAAAATTACAGCAATTATCTCTCAAATAGCTGGGCTGAAAAAACGGTGTCTTCCCCCCTTTTCCTCTTCTGCCTTTTTTTTTTCCCCTCTTTTTAAAAAAAAGTATTTTAAAATCCAACTGCAATTCCTGCCTTTGCCAGCAGCAATAGCTGTCAGTCACTGCACTGATGATTCCTTTTCTCCCTGCTCTGCACTGGGAAGGCCAAACCAGCCACAGTTTTGGCACCCGCTCTCATTGTGGTGAGAAAAAAGACTTGAGCAGGGAAAAAATATATAGCTGCAATGAGAAAAGGTAAACATGAGTGGGAGATGTGGTGTAGGAGAAAAAGGATTTGGGAGGTGAGTTGATTTTAATGCAAAAGTACTGGGCCATGAACAAATGTTTTGCAAAGTATATTCTCATTTCTCAGTTCTCTTTGGGGCTGTCCCTAACACCATTGAAGAAGAGTCAAACTCGGAAAACTCATTACTCGTGTTTGCCACTGACATGGCTTTTTTCTAGAATTTTCTTAATCCCTTAATACTCTTCTTACACTTTCTTAGTGCTCCTACTTGTGTGTGTTTGACTTGGATTATGAGTCTCAGCTGTGTCAGTGTGGTCCTCTGAGCTGCTGACCAGTAACAGCTCCATTTAGACGTAATTGTGGGCTGCTTCTGGGGATTGTTGCATAGCTGAAAAATCTCTGCAATACTAAAGTCAAAAATAATAATAAAGTCAAAATAAAGTCAAAAATTAATTGATTTGGAAATGGAAATCTACTGCTTTATCACTGACTATTTTTCTCTTTATTTCCTTTTTCCCCTTGTCTTTAACATTGAAATCCTTTCTTGGACTAATGAAAAAAATTCTTGTGTGGCGTGCTGCACCAAAAATCATTCCCTCCTCCAACAGCTACTGCCTGGAAGGTGTATATATTTTAGAAAAACTAGTGCACTCCTCTGTTTTTATGTCCCAAATGTTTTAGTGCTGCTTTTTTCCCAAGTGGCAAAGCTGAGAGAGGGAAAACTGAAGGGATGTGATCAGTAGAGAAGGATGGAGCTGGTGGAAGGTGGGAAGTCCTTGCTCACAGGCTTTCACCCCTGTCTTGCCTGGAATAGCTGCACAGCACTGGCAGGAATCTGCTGAGGGACATTAGACAAGGGGGCTGAAGGTATAAAAAGGTGACATTGATTTTATTGCTCAGAAATATGGGCCAGTTAATTTTCTTTATGTGCCTGGCATCTTGGCCACGCTGAGAGATTTTTTTGTTGTTGTTGCCTGGTGTAGTTTGTTATTTAAAATTGTTGTTTAGGTGGAGGTGTCATTTCAAGTTTGGAATAAAGGATAACTGGGAATCCTGAGCAAGGTAGTCCTTGGTGTCCCACAGGACTTCAGTGGCTTGACTCTCTCATCTCTAATTCAAACCTGCTCTGAAATAATTAGATCTCAATAAGAGAATGTTCCAAAATTTTATTTTTATGCTGTAAAATGGCAGGTGAAAACTGACTGTGCTGCTGACATGTAGCTTAGACTGGTGAATGAGTGGAGCATGATATTCCTTGGGAAACTGGAGTGGAGGAGCAACCCCTGACCATGCCCAAAGAAAGATGTGCAAGTGATTCAGCTCTTCCCTCTCTTGCAGGGGAGAGATTAGAGGTGCACCCCCTTGTCAGTTCATCTCCTTAACTCATCATATATTATTTATTGCAAGGATTTGATTTCCTAAGCCTGTCATCTTCTTTTCTCTTAAGATACCACTGACTATTTGATCTGGAGGGCTTATTTTTTATGATGATGGTGATCATTATTGTGTACAGGTATGTGGGGAGGGAAGGACTTTGAGCAACAGCAAAACCCAAGCTTTTAAAAATATGGAGTGTCTGTTTTTGTCTTGTTTTGGCATTTTTTGCACCTCATGCTAAAGGTGTGATTGTGGTTGGTTCAAATACATCTGAGGTTTCTTGTAGCCTTGATTCCAGGGGCTTTCTGACTCTGCTATAATTCTGTGCATGGTGGCTCTTAATTGGCTTAGACACCTTGAATTCATTTCCAGGGTTTGAAATATAAAAGAAAAAAATTAAAAAAATTCTTTTCATACATCAGCCACATCTAATTTTAAAAAAGTAAAATTTGTGATGATCTGGGTTGTTTGTTTGGTTTTTATTTTTATGCCAAAACCTCCAAAACTTAGACTAATGAAAATGTTAACATTTAACCTCATTCAAGCCAGCCAAAGTATTTTCACAGAGAGCAGGTGCATTCTTGGCATAGCTGGTGTTATAGGGTGCATTCTCCCATTTGTCAAATGTTCAGAAGAAGCCTTTCATTTAAAAGGAAGGGAGGTCTTGTAGAAAAAACTACTTGTATGGGCTAAAGTAAAATAAAAAAATAAACTAGGCAGGAATAAACTTGCTCATGTGGTTGGCAAACTGAGAGCAAAACTGTTATGGCTTTGGTCAGTTGCTAAAAGGATGATCTGAGGATGTTTGATTAAAGAACTGCACTGCACCTGAGCCAAACATAACAAGTTATAAAGAATATCAAATGAAGGTGTAGCAATGTGACACATCCCTGCTTTTTCCCTCTTCTTGCCCCTCTCTCCAGGCAGCTGATGAGAACAGAGGAAGGAGCAGATGATGGCACCAAATCCTGCCCTGGAGCTGAGCAGGGCTCAAGGAGCAGCCCCGTGTGGAGGAGCAGATGGTGCTCTGCAAACTGTAAGTGCCTGCTCTGGTACATTCCTTCACAAACAAACCCTCATCTCTGTGGTAACTGCATTTTTGGGCAAATTCCTTCCTAAATGTTTTGAGATCAGAGAGAAATACCTGCTTTGTAACTGGCTTTGGTCATTTGAAATCTACCCTTCCTCCCCTGTCTGCCATTCCACCCTTTTGTCCTTCCCCACACTGGCTGAAACATTTTGGGTTCATTCTTTATACGTTCAGATAAATCTTTTGTAATGGATTTTTGGGTTTTGCAGCTTAACGATATCAAATCCTTCCTAAGATTTATTGTCAGTCTCACTTGACCTGGGGATCAGAACTTAGAACGCTTGATGGAATTTGTTGCAGAATCAGGGAATGTTGTGAAAGTTGCTATTTTTGGTTTCTGTATTGCTGTATCTGTAGACTATAGATTTAAAAAAATGAAATGATAAATAATGTTTTCTTGGGTGTTCAAAATACGATGAGTGTGTGTGTTTCATGAACTTTGGCTTCTGGATAAGCTGATTTGTACTATTTCTGATAAAGAGATGCAAGACATCCAAGGTTTTTAGCTTTTAGAATTTTAGAATTCCTTAAAAAAAAAAAACCCTGTCACCACCTCTCAGTGAAGGTTATAGACTGCCAGAGTGAGAATTTCAGCTCCTGGTAATCAGTTTGCTTTTCACAGTCCCCATTGAAGGGTTCACAGCCCCTTCCAGCCTTGCTGGAGACACGTCTCTGTACAAGCAAAGGAGGAAGTCGCTGTGTTGGAGCCGGTGTGGACCAAATATTTATAGGAGATAGGACTGGTGTTGGGCCAGGTTTTCTTTATAGAATACAGAGTGGGTTGGTTGCCTTCCTTCTGCAAAGCTTTGAGGCTGTCCCATCACTCCAGCTGAGTGGAAGGGGTGGCCCCATGGCAGTGGGAGGAGGAGGAGCAGTCTCATAAATGGCATTTCATCCAAAGGGGGCCCAAAAGAAATTAAGTTTAGCAAAGAAAACAAGTTTCATCAGTTAAGGCAATAAAGCACAGTCCCAGAGCAAGTCAATAATGCTCAATTGACAGCCAGTCAATATTTGTACTGGATTAACTTTTCAGGGAGTGCAGAGATTTCGGGGGGTTTTATGTAAACACTGTAAATAGACTGGGACACTAAAGTAGGGTTACAATACCGCGTGTCAGATTAGATAAGGATCACTTCCCGGGAGCAGGATTTCTCCTACCACGAAAGAGACATTTATATCTTGTGAAATGAACACAGATACAAATTTTTTTGTTTGTCAAATATATTCCAAAATGCAGCTGGGCAGATCTCATGGCAGTGCTGCTCAGAACACTTCAAAGGGCAGCCTCTGTCGGAGGTCAGGCTTGCTCACCTTCCGTTTGTGCTGTGTCCAAGCTGTGCCAGGTAGAGCTGCAATTTAGGTGGCATTGTGGCTGCAACTCCATTAACAGGAATGCTGTACAAATTAATTTCAATTTTGAGCTTCATATCATATGAAGAGTTATTAAGAAATATTCAGTATTTGTCATTCTGCTCCTTGCTGAAGCATTGGGCTGAGACATGAGCAAAATGTGCTGGTTCTGACATCTGTAACACAAGGCTCGGTCTTTACAAGTGTTTCTTTGCAGTGGCTTTCCTGGCACCCACTTCTAAACAATGAAAAATCCGTTTACCTTTTCCAAAGCTGGGAGCAGAGTGGGGAAACATTTTCAGAAGAAATTAGTAATTTACAGTGCCTTCTTTTTCAAGATGCTGCCCTCAGATTTCCTGACTTTTCTTATTAGAAGGATCTCAAATCATTTCAGGATTCCCAGTTCTCTCGAAATAATTGAGGGTGATTTGGCCTGTCCTTCCTGTCCCCAGTCACAGAAATGAGGGCAGGCAGAAGCTGGCACTGCCCAGATGGGCAAAACAGCCCAAATAAATGTTTTGTATAAAAAAAAAATATTAATATTTATTATATAAAATAAATCTTGTGTATAAAAAACGCGCATGGCTCTAGCGAAGTCCATGCAGGTAGCACATCACTAGGAATCCCTCTTGCTGGAAAGTAGATTACTGCATTTTATTGTTCTTTCTTTTATTTCTCCTGCCTTTTTTTCCCTTAGAAAAGGTAATTAGGCCATAAACAGAGGTCTGACAACTAATTTTATCTGCAGCAAAATTATTATCATAAGCAACAGATAATTTCAGCTGAGCAAAATTAGAAAAGATATATTTTAATGACATTTTAAAACCAGAAAATCTAATTTTTTTTCCTTCTGAACTTTTTGTACCTGGCTCTTTTGATATTCAGGGAGATGCTCACTCATTTAGTGAACAAATGTTTTGCCTCTGTACTGTTCCTGCCTCACCACCAGGCCTTGCTGGTGTTGGCCTGTGGTATGAAGTTGCTTTTAATTTCCTCTCTCTTGTTCTCTGGTTCCTTTCAAAGCAGAAATGATCTGAGGGAAAAGACATAGCTTTTCTTACCTCTAAATTTTCATTGACATTAATAGGAGGCAGGTGGCCAAATCCCTGCGTACAGCTTTGAAAATTTAAGGTTTAATTTTTTTATTTTTTTTTTTACCCTGGGCAGATTCTTACACTGCTGGAGTTGTGAATCCTCAGAAAAGATATTAAATATGAAACCACACCATGTCAGCAGTGCCTAGAGAGTTTATCTACAAAATTATCGCCTACCTTCCAAATCTATAACCCTAAAATATTGATTGGTTAAAAGGTAGTGGATAAAGATTAGCACAGCACAGCAGCAGATTACCCTAATCAAATAAAAAGACTATTAACAGAGCTGCTCACAGTCCTGAAGATGTTGGTTTGAAATACAGATGTCTTAACCAAAGTGCTATGTCTCATTTTCTGAATGCATTTTTGAATGCATTTAAATAAATTACAGAATAGAAAGAAAGAAGAGAAAAACTCCACATGCTCCAGACATTAAATTTCCATTTATAATAAAAGTATTTCATGCCTTTCAGTAAGTAGTTGGAACTTTTAAAGATCTGTTCCATTGGATGGTACAAAGTCAAGCAGTGGATTCTCAGCTTAGGAGGCTCCACAAAATCACATGTGTGATTTTAAACCTGTTAGGTTAATTTGGAGCTGTAGGATCCTTTGGAAAACCATCTCTGCTTCAGACCAGCAGGGTTCAAGTGGCTTTGAATTTGTCACAAACATTTTATTTAGCTTATTAGCGTTCCATAGGAGTAAGCTACCGGGAATACCGCTTGGAAAAGAGCGGCATTTGTCACTAACGCTTTTAGCGTACAGTGGGAATTTTTATCCAGCCAAAGGCTGCGTTGTGCTTTATCCCCTTGGAAGAATTTCCCATTGAGTGACGGCTGAGCAGGGATTGAGCTAATAACCCATGCCCTGGGTTATTGGAGGCACAGAGACAGAAAGGGCGGGTAATGTATTAATTTTCATCACTTATGGACAATACTATTAAATTACTGACTCTTGTTGAAATAATGTGTCACTGATTAATAATGTCATTTCAGCTTTCCAAACTTTCCTACCTAAAAATTTTAATTCACAAAGAAAAGATGTAAAAATATGTGAGAGAGGTTTTGGCGCTCTAACTCATAGGTACGGAGGACTTTTGTTTTTGTTTGAAATCGCACCTAATTTTAAGTCGCAGTGTAAATGAGGTTTTAAAAGTTTTTAACAGTGATGCGGATAAATTTGGAATTAAAATTGAGATCTGAAATGTTGTGTTGCTCCACTTTTAAAAATAAGTTTCCTTCTCATTTGCAATTAAAATGCCTAGAATCTGCATAAAATGTGTGAAATTAGAGATAATTGAAATACAGTAGCTATAAATATGTCTACTCCATTTGAAAAATAAATAAAATGTCCACTAAAAGTGTGCGAAAGCCATACCCCTTCTCTTGTTTCTCCCATTTGGATCTCTGGCGTTTTTCACACTTTTATAGCTAATTTTTATTGCAAAACAATATGTTACATTTGTAGCCGTTGTGGGAATGCAGAATAGCCCCTGGCAGCTCTGTAAAAAATGGAATGTTGGGAACACATTTAGAAGAATATAGCTTTCAATTTCATCCCCAGCATTGGTGTCGTGGAATCATATTAAGTGTGATCTAACAAAAACAAAAAGGGGGGGAAGAAAAGAAAAACAAATGTTATGGAAAATAATTGAAATCAGCTATTATTTAAAGTATGTTCATTTCCCATTTGGATGTTTTCATAGAGTAAGTTGTGATGTAGTGGGTTTCCCAGGAGTGAGACTCCAAGCCCAGGTTGGTGCCGTTCCCTGGAATGAGGTGAGCACACATGGCCTGGTGCTGCAGAGGGTCAGTGGGCCCTGGGCAGGGAGCCCGGAGGAGCATTCTCCATTATCAATTATTCCTTATTAACCTGGGCTCTCGGCAGTGCCTGCCACTGGAATGGAGCAGCATCTCACATGCAAAAATTGTAAAGAGCTTCTCTAACTTCAGCCTTGGAACTTGGAAAAATGTTATTCCTATAACACCCTGTGCATCCTTCTTAGTGAAATTGCACTGTGCCGCCCTGTCATTTCCAATGCTGTGCGTGTTTCTGTTCCTGGGGAACACCAATCAACTCCCAAAGAGCTGCTTAGGTGGGGAAATGGGCAGCTTTTCAACTGCTCTGCATCCAACACAAACACGCACCGCAATTTGCTGTAATTCCCACAAAACTGAATTGAAAGGCCTGGGTGAAGGTTACTCCTCAGTGCTCCCCATCCTGGGATATTATTTCTGGAAGCCCTGCTTTCTGGAGGCGTGCCTGGCACAGGGAATTATGCCAAAGCAAAAGAGTTTCCATGCAGGTATTATCCTGGGGGCAACAGGAATTCAGCAAGTTTTAATGTTGGTGGCTCCTTCAGTAGTTCTCTTCCCTGCTGCAGTGAGTACCACAAGGGACTTTGTTGCACCAGGGCTTGGGAATTAAATTTTTTTTCCCTTACTTTGCTCTTTCCCCCCGCCCTAAATGTATTTATTGATAAATCACGATACTGTATTTTCA